GAATATGGTCTTAATGATGATACCCTGCTCTGCTTTGGAAACAGCTTCGACAAGAAATAGGGTAAACACCGGTAGTCTCGAAAACCTACTCACAACAAAAGATAAGAATGTCTCGGTAAAGCCAATCGACAGCTGGTCTAGAGGAATCCGCCGTCGTCTTCTAATGAATTAGCCCTTCAAATATCTTCATTAAACACTTTCACTCGAAATGCAAGAAGGCTCAAAAATTAGGATCCAATAAAATCTTCGAAACTCGAATTTTCTTCGCATACGTAATTTGGTCCGTTTTAAAGACAAATACATATTCATATGAGATGTATTCATAGTATTTCGTTTAAGATAGTAAAGGGACTGGTAGTTGAATTTTCCCACAATCATATGAGCAGACTTTACTCATTCTCATTCTTTTGGTAAAGCAAGGCTATGTGAAATTCAATGGAAACGTGAGGTCTACTCACAGCATTGTTGAAAAACTCAGTCCCTTAACCACTTCAAATGAATTATGATTAATACACCTCATATACATGATCTACATGTAGTCTCGAAAAATGCATATCCAGCCAAAATGAAAACACAATTGGTATAATGAGACCTACTCATATCAGCTAGTAAAAAGTTCTACAATCAGCTCTTGGGTCACCTAAATCGACCTTGAGTGAGCGAGTTCTTATTCGAGAATCGTTGAAAGTTCTGATGGAGACTCACATCAAAAACTAGTTCGGTGCCAGATGGGACAAGACTGTCGCAATTCCAGCTTCACTCAACGACTCTAACATGAGGTGCTAGCCTGGTTGAGCAATTCAACTGTTACTGTTAACGCTTTTTTAGGTCTTGACTCAACTTTGATGGGGACTGAAGCTTTTCGGGCTTGGCTGTTTGTGGGAAATTTGAGAAAAGATCTTCAATTTAAAGCCAACTATTAATCCCATTCGGTTGTCTCATCCGCATTCTAATTAGCCGATCTCCTGAGGATGGGCTATCGAGGATGATTTTATGCAAATTTGCCCACCAGTTAATCTATCAACCCATTAGAAGAGAAGAGAAGTATTGCTTCGGCTCATCCTGTTCGGACAGGCCCTTGTTAGGGTCAGGTTGAGGGTGTTTCTCGATGGGAGATGAGATGTTTGGGTTGGGATTCGGCCAACATTACACGTGAATAGCTGGTTATATATACACGTACATGAACCATGTATCAGGCTGCTAGGGACGGGGTCAAGAATGGAGGAGACATATGCTTGGATTGCAGTGCTCGATACTTTTTATGTCATGAGGGTGGCGAGGGTGGGATTTTGCTGGAGCCAGATACTTGCTTCTAAACGGGTCATGTGAGGGGATAGGAAAGACCATAGTCAAAAGACAACAGTGCTGCTGAGCAGCATAAGTAGATCAAAAAAGAGCAGAATCTCGGCAATCCCTAAGGCGCTGTACGCAAGGTTGGCAAACCTCGTTCGACTGGACTTCAATAAGGCTCCAGAGAATCTGAAAGTGTCAGATGAAGAAGCCCCTTGCTTTTGGATTCGCTGCAGCCCGACAAGCTTGCCTGAATGGAACTTGAAGCTGCCGTCGTCTGCTATTGCAAAGGGCGAGTACAACTCGATAACACAGTCTGGAATGATGATAATAATGGCAGATATTACATTAACAGTCTTGAATAATGCGAATTGGCAATTGTAATGGCAAGGCCGAAAATATGGGGCAGAAATGAACCATCAAGTTGGAGAAGAAATTCAGATGAAATCGGGCATAGTGACACAATTTCGAGAATATTCGTAGGAAACTTTGGATGGGCGAGGCAAAAATGAGCAAAGTTGGCATGTGATAGAGCCGAGGGGATGAGAAGTGATGAACAGCAGAAGCTGAAATTAAGAAAAGAAAGCGTGAGGATTCTGGGCCTGAATCAAGTACACGAGTCTGTCAGTTCATCCTTTGTATGGAGAATGTGGTGTATATACAATTTAGGCTCGAGCGAGCTAGTATTTGCCAACCACTATCGAGAAATTCGAGGGCTTAATAACCGCTCTTCATCACTCTGGCCACACCAAAAGTCGGCGATATAATGCTCACTATTGGTCTTGTCGCTATGCCAACTTGGAAGGCTCTTGATGAAAGCGAGTCTGGAGGAGGTGTATGTCTTGAGAGAAATTGGAAATCCTTCTGTTATCATCCACCATGACAGGGCATATATTCAGGAAATCTTATAAGGGAGTCCTGACGTGTGAACATCAACTAAGGCTCTTAATAATGTTTTGTCACCTCCAGTACGGCCTTTCGATGGGGTCAAATGGTCGCCAAACGGAAAGAAAATCTTTAGAAGTTGTCAACATCTGATGGAATGAAACCGTAAAATGGACTTGTGTGGTAGAGGGCAGAAAAGGGGGGAAATGAAGTGTACACTAGGACAGAAAGTAAGAGTTGGAATGAAGAAAATAGCCTCAATTAACAGGTACAACTCGGTTAGGTTAATCACAGTTAGTGCAGATTTCCCACCGATGTTGATCGCAGATTTTTCACTCCAGGCAAGAGCCTTTTGGGTTGCTGTAGCATAGGGCACCGTCATACGATGATGGAACAGATGGTGAAGCGGAGCCACAGAGGCAGAAGAGCTGGAGGGACAAAGGACAATAGGCCAAGAATTATTGCATCAATTAATTAAACTCCTTCCCTAAAGCTTTTAAGTTGAATAGAAAAACAAATTGGTAAAGGTCAAGCGATGTGAATGAAAATAGAATTATTCGTATATATGTAGTTATTTATTTAAGACGTATTACTCTATAAAATATGAGTAATATGATAATATTTTTATTCGAATTAAATTAGATTAAGTGCATAAGTAGAGTTTTGAGATTATCAGTAAATATGTTATAGGAGATGTATTCACCCTATTTTGTTTAAGGTGATGAAGAACTGCTAGTCGAATTTTTCAACAATATTTCCCATATAATTGATTTAATTGTAGTCTCGAAGCTCTAATTATATACGAAAAATTCAATTCGAACACAGTCGATTGTTATAGGAAAATTACGTTTGCTTCATCGGCAATCCCACCAAAGAATATGATATGGGAAAAGGCTTGGCCCTCCTTGAAATTCACATCTTCCCTGTGATACAATGGCACTCGTGGCAATGTGGCCAAGCTCACATTCTGCAGCGTCACGATTCGACTCCCGCTGGGAGTGTTGATAAGACCTATGCGAGTTTGAAACTGCAGTCCAAACTGGATGAGAACAACTTTGGGAAAGTAAGGCTCTATGAAATTCAATGGAAATGTCAGTTCTATTCATATCATTGCGAGAAAAGTTTACTACCAGTCCTTCATCACCTTAAACGAAATAGGGTGAATACTTCTCATATAAATTAAGTGCGTTTTGTTAAAAAATATACATAATATTATATAATATGTGATATTAATTATTATTTACATTTATTTTGAGCAAATAAATTTTTATTCAATTTCAAAATACGTTGTTCAGAGCCAAAACAGCTTCTCTGAAGTCGTAATAGCTCTGTCTTATTAGGGCTATCAGGAATTGTACAAGTGTAGACTATGCTAAATATTTTGATTGAAGGTATGAAGACCAAGATGGTGTGACCTTTTGTGTGGTCGCAATCTCCTTTCGTTGTATAGAGGTTGTTTGAACTTGTTTTCGCAACATGGTCATATTGGTAGGAAGACTTATTGTAACGCACCTAGACAATGGACCCCGGACTAGGTGCGTTCCAATAAGTCTTCCTACCAATGTGACCATGTTGCGAAGACAAGGTCAAAAAACCTCTATGCTAAATAGTTTTCGGGTAAAATTCACCCAGAATATGTACAAGATAATACCAGAATGTAAGGATTTTATAAGCCTATATCTGCTTACAACATCACTCTGGCATATACTAAACTTGGTGTGCTTTCACGCCATGTCAACAAGTTTAAATGAAAGTCAAAGGATCGTTATGCTAAAACTAATCTCTTGATGGTGAATTAATTTGTAATTTTTA